TTACAAAAACAACTTCGAATAAAAGTCCATAAGTATTCCAAAACTTTTATCAATCAAAGACACTCCCATCCATATGTATATCGGAGTTAATTCAAGAGGTTGTAGATTGAGTCATAAAGTATAAACATAAACCGAAAGACATTATTCGGTGTAGCAAGATTAATGATTCATAAACACAAAAAATGTAGTTTCATAACACTTGCACACCAATCTCTTTATTAAGTGCAAAGACATATGTGACGCAACCTTTGTGATGCATTAAATCTTGTTGCACAAAAGATGATACGTATAAAACATCATCAATCATCAATCATCAATTTTATTTGCAAGAAATTTAAAAATGACCAAGCAACTTAATATAAAAGCTAGATGTAAAATAGGTGCAAAAGAAAATTACCATGGTTCGGGTAGTTTGTTTAACAAACCATGTTCATTGCACTTAAACGATTCAGACGTTTTCTTGACAGCTTTATGGCAAGATGGGCATGACTTGTACCACCAACCCCTAGTCAAATCAAATCCAACGACATCGCTTTGCATGCAAAACTTGCATCATGTTATGGAATTAGACCGTTTTTAAATAATGAAATACATTTATCCATCAGCTTGTAAACATGGAATATAAATGATAAAAGAAAACCAAAGCAAAAGATAACCAAGGAAGAAGCACTACAAAAATTTTATTATTAAAAAGATGTCATTATTTTTTAACAGGTTGGTGATAAAAGACTAACTTTGTGTAAAGCAGAATCAAGTAGAAGCAACTCATCGAACGTTTTGGACTCATAATTAGGATCGACAACATGGTCTGCATACATCTAAGCTGAGGTGCGCATGATTCGAACAGGTGATCTTAGATGCTCAAACTTGTGTCGTGCATGTTGAGGTTGAGAAACATCAATCGAAGAAATATAAACGCCAAAGTTATAAAAGAAGGGTTGTCAATTTACTTTTGTTTGTATTGGGAGAGCTGTGGAATGTCCAAATTGAAAACACAAACAGTTGATCCCGTGCTTCCAAGTACAGGGTTTCCTATAGATAAAATATAACAATCAACAAATTAAAGGTTTAAGCAATTAAATAAAGCATGTTGAGGTATAACCTTTGTATTCTTTGACTTTGAGGCTTGAATAAGGGTGGTAGAAGTGATTGCATTCTGCTGTCCTCAAAACTCGTTGCAGCTTCTCTCCATAAGGTGATCCTAACTGTTTCTCCCCTGTAAGTTAAAAAAAGTGTGATGTTTTATTGTACGTTATAAATATGGTGCTATGTGTAAATCAATTAGAAATTAATGCAAACAGGAATGACTTGATATTTTGCATACTAAGATTCCGTTTCTTTGCAATTTGTGAGTTTTGGATAGTGACATCTTCAATCGATTGCACAACCGTCAAGCAACCAAATACATTTGCGAATGATATTTAGTGGTGGAAATGATTGCACATCGAAGTCAACGAAAAAATTATAATAATGATTTTAGATTTTAGTGTAGCTCGAAAAAATAAATTTGTTACCTGTAAGCTCAGCATCATTGTTGATTCTCCTACGAAGCTGATCAAAATCAATCAAATTGAACCACTGCTTTGGGACAACTTTGCTTGATGTCCTATTGTGAACAACATGAAATTTGTTGATCTCGTATGCATTGCCGACTCTCAAATGGTCCAAAAAAAATTGGATGTCTCGAGCGTTCATGGTCGCGTGAACTGCATCCCCCTTTTAGAAGGAGAAAATTAAAATAAGACAGATTATTAAATTAGTGGGAGAACATATAATGTATGTGGTTTAAGAAGCTCGAAAACAGTGAGGATAACACAATTGTTGCCATTAGGCCTGGCAAACGGGTTGTGTCTGTCATGTTCGTATCGTTTTCGTGTAACACCTGTTATCTTAACGGGTCGTGTCGTGCCACACCTGTTATCTTAACAGGTCCTTAACAGGTCGGGTCACGGGTAAAGTGACCCGACCCATTATAACCCGTTATGACCTGTTAAGAAAAATATATTTTTTTCTTAAATTTGCACATACCACACTTTGCCACATAAATATTACTTCAAAACATTAAAACACATAATTTAATATATATATATATATATATAATATAATTATTTTAGTTTTTAGGGGTATAAAATTGTTAAATTAATGTATATAATTATTATAGTTTATTCATACTCATTAAGTATAACATTAGATTTTATGGTATCCACTAGTGTAATTTTTTAAATTGAAGAACGAATTCATTCATTGTATTCATATAGGGTCAATGAGTGTAGATGTAAAAAATCATCAAAATCGAAGTTAAAATAACTGTTAAATCATGATTTATCTTTTTATAACCGTCGAAAAGTTTTGTCCTGTTACTTGATCTTTGAATATTTGTTTTTTGCAATTTTTGGCATATGCGATCTCAAAGTATATACAAACATGTTTGACGGTTGGATCGTTGAAACTAGTTTCGTAGAATGCGTATCCCATTAAAACAATAGATTCAACAACACTTAAGAGTTTATTCATACTTTCATTAAGTATAACATAAGATTTGTGGTATCCACTAGTGTAAATATTTTAAATTGAAGATCAAATTCATTCATTGTATTCATATAGGGTCAAGGAGTGTAGCTGTAAAGAATCATCAAAATTAGAGTTAAAATAACCGTTAAATCGTGATTTTTCTTTTTATAACCGTTGAAAGGTTTTGTCCCGTTACTTGATCTCTATATGTTTTTTTTTTTTTTGCAATTTTTGGCGTATGCGATCTCGAAGTATATACAAACATGTTTAACGGTTGGATCGTTGAAACTAGTTTTGTAGAATGCATATCCCATCAAAACAATAGATTCACTAACACTTAGGAGTTAATTCATACTTTGATTAAGTATAATAAGATTTTGTGGTATCCACTAGTGTAAATATTTTAAATTGAAGATCGAATTTATTCATCGTATTCATATAGGGTCAAGGAGTGTAGTTGTAAAAAATCATCAAAATCGGAGTTAAAATAACCGTTAAATCGTGATTTTTCTTTTTATAGCCGTCGAAAAGTTTTGTCCCGTTACTTAATCTATGAATGTTTGTTTTTTGCAATTTTTGGCGTATGCGATCTCGAAGTATATACAAACATGTTTGACGGTTGGATTGTTGAAACTAGTTTTGTAGAATGTGTATCCCATCAAAACAATAGATTCACTAACACTTAAAAGTTTATTTATACTTTCATTAAGTATAACATAAGATTTTGTGGTATCCACTAGTGTAAATATTTTAAATTGAAGATCGAATTCATTCATTGTATTCATATAGGGTCAAGGAGTGTAGCTGTAAAGAATCATCAAAATCAGAGTTAAAATAACCGTTAAATCGTGATTTTTCTTTTTATAACCGTCGAAATGTTTTGTCCCGTTACTTGATCTCTGAATGTTTTTTTTTTGCAATTTTTGGTGTATGCGATCTTGAAGTATATACAAACATGTTTGATGGTTAGATCGTTGAAAGTAGTTTTGTAGAATGGGTATCCCATCAAAACAATAGATTCACTAACATTTAAGAGTTTATTCATACTTTCATTAAGTATAACATAAGATTTTGTGGTATCCATTAGTGTAATATTTTAAATTGAAGATCGAATTTATTCATTGTATTCATATAGGGTCAAGGAGTGTAGCTGTAAAAAAAATCATAAAAATCAAAGTTAAAATAATCGTTAAATCGTGATTTTTCGTTTTATAACCGTCGAAAAGTTTTGTTCGGTTACTTAATCTCTGAATGTTTGTTTGTTTGCAGTTTTTGGCGTATGCGATCTCGAAGTATATACAAATATGTTTGAGGGTTGGATCGTTGAAACCAGTTTCGTAGAATGCGTATCCCATCAAAACAATAGATTCACTAACACTTCAGAATTTATTCAGACTTTCATTAAGTATAATATAAGATATCCACTAGTGTAAATATTTTAAATTGAAGATCGAATTCATTCATTGTATTCATATAGGGTTAAGGAGTTTAGCTGTAAAAAATCATAAAAATCAGAGTTAAAATAACAGTTAAATCATGATTTTTCGTTTTATAACCATTGAAAAGTTTTGTTCGGTTACTTGATCTCTGAATGTTTGTTTTTTGCGATTTTTTAATGATGCAAACATGCTTGACGGTTGGATTGTTAAAATTAGTTTTGTATAATTCATATCCCATCAAGTTCAATGGTATATATATATATATATATATATTTATTTATTTATTTATTAAGTAGATTTAAATCTATTTATTATGTACGTATAATTATTATAGTTTTTAAGGGTATAATATTTAATTTAAAATTATATATATAATTATTATAATTATTATAGTTAATTTAATATATATATATATAATTATAGTATTTTTTAGGGTTATAAAATTATTAAATTAATATTCTGCTTATCGTGTATCGTGTTACCCACGTGTATACCGAACCAACCCGTTATCTTAACAGGTGCTTATCGGGTTACCTGATAACGACCCGATTCATTATCGTGTCGACCCGAACACCTGTTAATTTCGTGTCGTGTTGTATCGGGTTATCTGGTCGTGTCAGAAATTGCCAGGCCTAGTGACTATAGAGACAACATTTAAGATAAAATGCACCATAATAGTAAAGATTGCTTTAAGAATCAACCGAAGCAACCTTGTAAAAGAAGTTTTAATTATATTTTCATGGGTCAAAAAACAAACAAAATAAATTAAGAAAAAGAAGAATTGATGGTTTCTACTTAGTTTCGTTTGCACATTAAAAAAATCTTGTTCAACTAGAATAAAATATAATCTCTCCAATAAAATTCAAAGAGAGCAAAAGTGCCAACGACACACTCTGAAATTTGTTTTTGCAAGAACAAAATGCATCGTAACCCATACCATTATATGGAGAAGATGAAATTTTGATTTCTTGAATTTATTGGCCCAGTATAAAAATTAATATTAAGGCCCATCATTGAATCCAATAAAACAATTAATCAGACAAACGTTAATCATTTGGAAGCGATGTATAATTGGGCAACAAAATGCATAGAACAATTAGTTCATGAACTTTAGAGAATGTTTGACCAAAAAATTTGTCGTACTAAGAACACACCGTGCACACTTGGATACATAAAACGGTAAACATCTTACAATAACGAAAAAAGTGCAAAATTCTCACATGTTTATCGACAAACACACAATCAAGACTTTGAGGCTGAGGATCATCTCCGATGGTTTTTGTGATCCACATCATGCAAACCCTGATTTGGATTTTGTTTACTGGCTGGTATGGCCTCAGACAATGAACTGGCATCACCTCCATCAATCTAGATAGATAAAAAATTGAGACGCAAATTAAAATGAAAACTGAATAATCTGATTTATCAAAGTAAGGTTGGAGTCATATTTAGAAAAATAAACAAAACCACAAAATAATAACGCAAACTTATACCTTCATGTAATGTTTTAAAACATCTTTATAAACTAGGTTTTTTGTATAACCATAAGGCATGTCGGAATCATGAGCAATAACAATTTTTAGACCCTTTTTTGAGGTGACTTTGGACACCGCAACATATAGTTAACCATGAGAAAAAACAGGCTGCGATAGATACAAACCGACAATTTTCAAGGATTGTCCTTGGCTTTTGTTGATCGTCATCGCATAACAAATTTTGAGAGGGAACTGTCGCCTCCGTAGGGTAAAGGGAAATTTATGCTGAGACGATTCAATTACACGTGAATGCAATACAGTTAACCAAGTTACGGGTGAATGCAATTATACTCTATGGTGATGGATTACTTATTTTCTTGTTTAGGTACTAATGAGTTTATATATACTGCTTCATACTTTTTCTTGGTAGCTGGTTCAACTACAGATTCTTTGAGAGCAAACAACTTGGAATAAAGAAGTTTTGGGCACAACAAGTAACATGCTAAATTCTTTTTCAAAAATATTAAAAACAATTCTAAATGGCTTATTTGAATCAAAATTTATACAGAGTAAGGAGGTTAAAGAGATTTATAAGCTAATTAAACCTTAGGTAGAGTGTCACCCACACAGGCCAAATATATACCATATCCCAAACCTCACTTAAAAATACACAAAAAATTGGAATGATTTCATTCTAATCTCTTTTATGCAATGAGTACCATTTCGTTTAGCAAGTCGCATTGAATAAAAAACGAAGATGCCAAACATAAGCTAACAAACTTTATCTTTGTTCAAAGCAAGTCTTAGAGAGGAACTCACATGCTTTGAAGATGACGTAATTTGGATATGTCATTTGGCAAGAATCCCTTCAGCCCTTGGTTGAACAGAGCCCTGTGCATGCAGAGTTAAACACTCATTTCCCAAAAAATGTACGAATGGCAATAAAACAAACAAATGCTACCGTGCTTTCTCAGGGCATCATGAGAATAGTTCTTAAGACTAACTGAAACATTTTTCTTTTGCATACAAATCTAGCTAATCTGAAAATGCATTTCCATTCCATTTACCCATGCACGCACATATTAACAATGGACTTTATGCAGTGGAAAATGATGCTGGATTATAAAAAGTGCTAAACTTCATATATGTTGAGAGTATTCTTGTGCCTTGTTTGATAAGAAAGTATCCGTGAAATTAATACTCTATGGTGAACAAAAGAAGACTAAAAATTACACAAAATGAACACAATTCAAGTGGCTGAGGCAAGAAAATTACATTTGTTAAAACAGTGGACTTATAAAGGTGGTTTATTTTTGCTTCAGGTTAGTGGAGTTGTAACTGCAGAACTCGAAGTTAACATGCACTGTGAGCCCTGTAAAGAGCAACTCAAGAAAAAGATATTCAAACTCACAGGTACATATCCTTTTCCTTCTCTTTACATTTGAGTTAAACCGAATTATAAACGTTACCCTTTGTATGAATTTACAACTAATGACATATTTGATCAGAATGTCAAAATCTCATGTGGCCCGCAAATCCGTTCCTTTTTTTTTAATTATAAATGGCTTTCAGTCTTACGTATTCTTTTACATATGTTTCAGTCCTTGAAAGGTGGCTCCTTGCTTGTTTAATACCGAAAAACAAAATTATAGAAAACACATCGAATCTGAACCTTGACTGTGTCTTCACGGGACATCTAACTACCAAATTGAGCTAAGAGGATGCAAAAAATGGCGATCTTATTCTTACCCATGAAAGTACTCCCACTCCTTTTCTTACTTTTCAATTCAGTTATCTTCACAACTCTAAGTTCAGTTGCTACAGTTCCCCTGCTCCCCAAGTCGTAAAAATAACCTTACAAACAATATTAAGCAGCACTATTTAAGAATCTAAAAACAGCCCAAACTAACTACACAGACAGGATAGACACCGAAACATGGAGACATGCAACACAGAACCTGTAATTAGTCCCAATCACAAAATGCCAAAACAAAATTCCTAATCTAACTATCCATATACTAACAGCCCATCCAAGCAAATACAATTCTAATGGGGTTTAGAACAAATAAACAAATCATCCAATTTGAATGGCATTTGGAACAAATACACCAACCATTCAATTGGAAAGGGGTTTGGTACAAATACATGCTCAGTTATCTCAAGCTTTACATAAATAGAGAGATACAGGCCAGTTCCATTCTAAACTCAAACGACCAAATGGATGCTTAGTTATCTCAACCTTGACATAAATGCACAGATATAGATACACACACTGAATAGAAAGAAACTCAGTTCCAATATAAGCTCAAACGACAAAATTTGAATTATATATTTAAAATCCAAGCATGAAAGCTTCACAAATATAAATAAAAAAGGTAGATAGCTAATTAGGCTTTGAATAAAAGTGATGGCATATAATTATATACCTCAAAACGGCATGGAACCAACTTCTTCCTCCAACCATCCAAATTTCTGAAATCTGCAAACAAAGTAAATCCGTTAGCAACTCGTAGACTTTCAAATTTAAAAACCAAATCTAATGAAATTTTAGCTAAATGACCAAAGACAACAACAACAACAACAAAGCCTTTTCCCACTAAGTGGGGTCGGCTATGTGAATCCTAGAACGCCATTGCGCTCAGTTCGTTCTAGATTCATTTTCATAAGGATTCGACGTAAACTAGGAGTGCCGGCTGTCGACTACCTGACGCCCTCCCCCTCCTCCTTTATCCGGGCTTGGGACCGGCAATGTAAGATAAACTTTCACAGGCGGAGTTAGCTAAATGACCAAAGACACAACAAAAAAAAAAAAGAAATATTTTGAATCCAACACAACTAATTTGGTTCAACGAAGAATATAAAAGCTTAAGGCCTAGGTGAAATGTTGAGTAAATAGCAAGAGGCCTCGGCCAAGGCCATAATTAATGTCATACAATCCACAATCACTTCGACACATTTGGTTATAAAGGAAAATTAAATTTGTTTGATCTTGTCATAAAGAACTGAGTGCAGGAACAACTTCTGTGGCTCAAAGGCATGAGAAGTAAATAACCAAGTTTACATATTACAATTTAAAATTCTTCTCTCGCTGAAATCCAACCCGACCAACCCACCCAATACATATATGAATTAATACCTAATGCTTCCACCTATAAAATTAATCTTTATATATACTTTAAAATAATACAAATCAATGTAATCTTAAACATTAGAAACATTATCATACAATTTAAGAATCACAAAGGTCGTACCCAGTGCACAAGGCTCCCGCTTTACGCAGGGTCTGGGAGAGGTGAATGTCGGATAGCCTTACCCCCATTTATGGAGAGGCTGCTCCCAAATACAATTTAAGAATCACGATGCAGAAAATTTTCTTTTCATTATTTTCAGATAACTTTTCATCCCAAAACACTGTAGCTTAATCTCCATCGTTAAGGGTTGTCAAAAATTAAAGCAATTAGTACAGCACACTCACAACAGATATGCTCTGTCGGAAAAACCAAAGAGAGAACCACACTGGGATGCTCCATTATCCAATTTATACCAGATCCAACATTTTACATCTGTTCAATCTCCAACCACGGGGTTGATTCCATTTCAACCCTCTCATTCATTCTATCTGTTTACATCTCCATCGCACACTCATACATATCAAGACAATAGATACGATTCATGAATCTGTGTCCATAGCTCATGAATACAAATCTCATTGAACCAACCCCATTCTCCTAAACTAAACAAAAAATTGTTTCATGACCAATGTCATTAACTTAATTATGCATAAATGTCAAGATACCCAAGAACTACCACTGAAACAACCGCAAAGATTCAAAGTTCCACAGTAATATATTATCAGAAACTAATAAAAAGTTAACCAACTAAATCAAATATAAATCCTAATGCGGTTTAGTAGCTTCAAAATTCTCGTTTTAAATCCAATTATGAACCACAAAATGCTACCCAAAATTGGAAATGGGGTAAAAATATGAATAACACTTGAATCAAATGCATAAAGAAAAGATGTTAAACATGAAAACTACAAATTACAGTAATTCTCTATTCGTACATTAACACAAATAGATTAAATTCCAAAGTATCTGCATTGATATCTCATTTCCTTGCAACTGTTAATTATTTACATCAATACAGATCACATACTTCACTCAAACGACATAAACAAAACAAACCCAATAAAACAGACCTAACATGAAAGTTTCTACACACCTGTCGTTCAAAATCACAAATACCCATATCTAATTAACGTAAAGCATCCAAATGCAGACTTAGAATTACAAAATGCATGAAACAATGCAGGTTGAAAGGAGAGAGCCTATGCGACGACAAATCTAGGGCCAGGATCAGAGAGGGCATGTGCAGCAAACAACTCAAAATGCAGCTTATTCCTTCATGAACCAAGCACAGTTTTAGATTCGAAATCTAGAGAGTCTCAGAGTTAATTTGAAATGAAGCAACTTAATTAACTAATAAATTCATATAAGTACACATCAAACCCATCAAATTAACCAAACTCAAAATGCAAAAGAAGGCGATCAATTGTTAACATACGTATAAAATCAAAGTTCCAAAAATAAAAATCAAACCTTGAAACTTTATCTTGTAGGGCAAAGAGTCGAAGAGCAGAACCAGATTTGAGGATTCAGAGTTCTTTGTGGTTTCAATATTATACTATATATTTTACCATATTTTTAGTATTAATTTATTGATTATTTTGGTAGAACTTTGATACTTTGTTATATATTTTCAATGTAGGATATTCGATTTCCTTTGGAGCAAAAAGTAGACAAACGGATGAATTTTGGAGTGATTTCAATTGGAGAATGTTCATGATTCTTTCAAGATGATTGTATCAAATTTCTAGATTTTTCTACCAAGCCGTTTGATCGTGGTGAATAAATAAAGGCCCAGCGCGCAGCTTTCCCAGATTGACGTTTTTAGACATTTTGGGTATTTTGAAGGTCAAGATGGCATATTTTGAGGAAGATTCCTTCTGAATATTTGTAGGTGACGTCTCCAACTTTCAAAAGAGATATTTTTGGACCAAATCGGGGTTGATTTGGTTAGTCAAAAGTCTGATTTTCTGAGAACTCCAAATTTTAGTTCAAATATGAAACATTTTATTTTCTGTTTTATTATTTTATTATGTTTCCTAGTTTTACTCTAATAACTTTTAGGGTTTTATTTTGTATTAGTATAAATAAGATATTTAGCTATTAGGGTGAAAGGGGAGAGAACGCACACATTTTGGCCTTAGAGACATTTTGACGATTCAAGTTTATTTTCAAGGTATTTTATATCTATGTTTTTAATAATATTTTGTTTTATGATTATTCGTAACTAGTTTCATTTGTTAGGGCGAGGCCATGAGTCTTAGCAAAAATATGTAGTTTCTTTTCAATTTGCTTATGAAATTATGCATGCAAGTTTTGAATTATTAATCACTATGCTTTAAACTATCTAATTGTCTTAATGATTGGCCACCATTAGGATATTTAGAAGAGTAATTTGATGCAATTTTGGCGGAGGGTTGTCCCTGAAATTGACGCTGGCTTCTTGTGGTTAATATGTGTAACTTCTTAGGATGGGCGACATGTCTTAAGGGTTATATGGTTTTTCAAAAGGATTTCACAAAACTTAATGAGTCTTGCATGTTCACATTTGATCTAGATGCCACGAACATGTTGCATATTAGATATATGTTCTATGTTGGAGGTTCCGAGTAGGCCATACTTTAAGGAAACCTAACCTTCAAATATGCATGTGTAATTCATAAGTAATTGGAAGAACAACGTAGGATTGTTAAGGTGACGGCAGAACCCTAGTGCTAAAATTTATTTTCAAAACTATTTTCTTTTGTTTTTTTATTACGTTGCTAATTTATTTAATTATTTTTAATTAAATTCATTTTTAATATTTTAGGTCATAAACTCAACCTCTTCCAAACTTTGTTTTCAAATAATTAATTAATATTTGGTATTTACATAAATTATTCATTCAATCCTTATGGAGATCGACCTTGCTTGAGCTGCATTCACAAATCAGAAGCGTAGTTAGATTAGTAAAGAAAAGTAACAATAATTAATTAATTATTTTCAATTTTCTGACTTTTTTTTCTTCATGATTTGTGTAATTGAAATAAAAGCAAGAAACTTAAATAAACGAAAATAACAAGAAAAGAGTTAAAAAATTGGGTTGCCTCCCAATTAGCGCTTTAGTTAATGTCTACAACTAGACAGATTGGAATGAAATTGGTGATCACGTGATTTGTTCTTTTATAGTCAACCACTCTTTGACAACATCAAGGGCTCTAATAGTAGGTACTGAGTGACTAGATGGTGAACAACTGTGCATCTGAATTCACTGGTTGAGGCCTTGATGTCCACCCTTCCGTGTGAATGAATTTTTGTAAGCAAATAAGGTTCCTTTCAGCGATGTTTTGGCCTCCGTTGAATTGACTTTAATTTTTTATTTAATACCCATAATTTTTGCATTGGCTAAATTTGTCTATGAGGAATTTGGCTGCCACAAAATGTCTTATTTTCCTTGTATGTCTTAGCCTTCTCGATGGACCTGCCCTCAATTTATGCAATTATGATTGGCTTTGCTGGTTCACTGTCTGTTATAGCAGCAAAAATTGTTTTATCTTGAGTTGTTTGCCCTGTATCTAAATCTGGTAGATGTGTCAAGTGTTGGTCGTGTGTTGGATCAACTTCTAAATTTATATGAATAACCCTTTCGAACATGTCAGTTCTAATGCATTCATGCAGCTTTGTTGGTTGCCTTGCAGCCTCAGGATATTTGGATGTGTGGCATATAGGTCTCGGTAGGAATGAGTTCTGGGGATATGTTAGGATCAGTAGGTTCTGGTGGAATTACAAGATTAGCAGTTTCCTCCATTAGGCTATAGTCCTCGCCTGGGGGCTCTTCAATTCTAGTGTCTTCCTGCATGTAGTCATAACTCTCTACACATTGGGGTGTTTGAATTACACACCATCCCTCTGAATCTTGTGGGCCATCAATTTGTTGACAAGGAAACTCGTCTTCCTCGTGTTCGTCCCATTGATGCATGAGCTGCCTAACTTGTTGCACCAGATTATCTAATGAAGCCTGGGTATCTTGAATCATACGGTGGGTATCTTGAATCTCACGGAGGTTGCATTCAGAGGATTTAGGCATGTTTTAGATTGCAATCTCCCAATCAGCTTTTGTTGGCACAATAGGTTGTCCAAAAAGCTGATGACTAGGTTCCCACATAGGATTTTGATGCTCTCGCCATGATGGATTATAAAAATTTGAGTAGGGATTGCACCTAGGCCTTTGATTGTTCCTCATATTAATATGGCGCTGCACAAACTCTGGAAAATACTGCCTTTGAGGACAATACATAATATCATGGGTATTCAAATTGCAAAGACCACAAATTGTAGGTGCTCCTTGTGAGGAACCAAACCAATCCATTGTTGCAATGCTCTCAAAATCAACAAATTGCTACCTGAAAAAGAAAATCAAAATCAAGTAAATAAAAAAATATATACATACAAAAATAATTAACTAAGAGTTGATAATCACAAATTATTTGGAACAATCCCTGGTAACGGCGCCAATTTCTTGATAGGGATTTTACCACTTGCAAAAATAGGGATAAAAACACTTAAAAATACTTGCAAGAGTACAAGGTTATCGTAGTATAGCAGCTCAAGCAAGGTCGATCTCCACAGGAATTTAATGAATAATTTATGTAAATACCAAATATTAATTAATTATTTGAAAAAAAAGTTTGGAAGAGGTTGATTTTATGACCTAAAATATTAAAAATGAATTTAATTAAAAACAATTAAATAAATTAGCAACGTAATAAAAAACAAAAGAAAATAGTTTTGAAAATAAATTTGAGCACTAGGGTTCCGCCGTCACCTTAACAATCCTACGTAGTTCTTCCAATTACTTATGAATTACACATGCATATTTGAAGGTTAGGTTTTCCTAAAGTATGGCCTACTTGGAACCTCCAACATAGAATTTATATCTAACATGCAACATGTTCGTGGCATCCAGATCAAATGTGAACATGCAAGACTCATTCAGTTTTGTGAAATCCTTTTGAAAAATCATATAACCCTTAAAACATGTTGTCCATCCTAAGAAGTTACACATATTAACTACAAGAAGCCAGCGCCAATTTCAAGGACAACCCTCCGCCAAAATTGCATCAAATTACTTTTGACTAACCAGATAAAATAATAAAAGAGAAAATAAAAGGTTTCCTATTTGAACTAAAGTTTCGAGTTCTCAGAAAATCAGACTTTTGACTAACCAAATCAACTCCGATTTGGTACCAAAAAGTCTCTTTTGAAAGCTGGAGACGTCCCCTACAAATATTCAGAAGGAATCTTCCTCAAAATATGTCATCTTGACCTTCAAAATACTCAAAATGTCTAGAAACATCAATCTGGGAAAACTGCGCGTTGGGTCTTTATTTCTTCACCACGGTCAAAAGGCTTGATAGAAAAATCTGGAATTCTTGAAAGACTCACGAACATCTTTCAATTGGAATCACTCCAAAATTCATCTGTTTGGTTACTTTTTGCTCCAAAGGAAGTCGAATGTCCTACATTGAAAATATATAACAAAATATCAAAGTTCTATCAAAATAATCAATAAATTAATACTAAAAATAGGGTAAAATATATAGTATAATATCGACCTTTTGGAAAAACATAGACTCGTTGAGCTCTCACAAACCACAGAAGCCACCAACATAAACATTAAGATAGGGCATCATAAAGACTGAAAGCTAAAAAATGTGCAAACATCTAAATGTGAACGGAAGAAAAGAACACCGCCACATGAAATAATGCATTTCAAGAGGTAGATTAAAAAGACAAATAAAATACATGGAAGAGCAACAAAAATGATATCCGTTGAAATTGCAGTTCCCCTATTGACTAAATGAAAATAGAACATCAAAAATCAGATTCTGTTTTCTAATCCAATTTGGTGCCTAAGGAAGAATTTCAGCATTCAGTCAATTAAATGTGTTCAATGCCATTTCTTCGTAGTGAAAATTCCATATAACTAAGTAAAGTAAAACCAATTAAACCCCAACCACAAACCCAAATTAAACCTTCAATGAAACTCCAAATTAAACTCTTAATAAAACCCAAATCAAATAAGCAATCAGGAAAGATAAAAATACGCCTATTCAAAGTATTGCATAACTGAGAAAGCTATATTTCTAAGAAAAATTAAAACCTTTTTACAAAAGACACCTACTGAAAAATCTCACATTTGTAAAGATTGGAAGTTTTTGCTCTAATTTTGTTTCCTTCACCTGTTTAAAGTTAATTTCCTCTCTCTGTTTTACAACTCCACTCACACATATTTACAACATATTTACAACTCTTTTGCAAGAATCAGGACTCAAGATTGATGAGTTCTCAAGGGGAAACCTAGATGCAACTACAAAAGAGCTCATTAAGGAAAAAAACACTGGCCTATTCATGTTTCAATTAGGGTAGTACTTTTCTTTTCTCATGGAACAATGGTAGGAGGGACTCGATAATCCATCAAATAAATTAAGAACACAAAATTGTTTTCCTTGTAGTTGTAGACAGTATGTGATAAGTTATTCAATGTTAATTTTTCTTTCGTAAGATTTGTTCATCACATTGCAT